GAGACAGATATTCAGGGAAGTAGCAGGGAAGACTCACCTGGCCCTAAGAAGACACGGAGACTTGAGAACAGCAACTTACCTGGAATGGTCAGACACCCTTCGCTGGACTTACCTGGAAAAGCCAGACACAGATAGCTGGACCTACCTGAGAAACTTACAGATCCAAACATCGCGACTTACCTGCTGCCAACTCTCCACCAATGCCAAGACCGCTGTACTCTGTCAGACAATCCTGCTACTCAGGCTGTAGGCACACCCCAGGAACCATGATGGCGAAAAAGGGACCAAGAAAGGTAGATGAGGATAGGAGAGTTGTTTGAAAGCACAATGTCACAAGCAGTGCGCAGAGAAGCGATCCTGACGCAGACGAGAATGGGGTGGAAAATCGGTGCGATTGGCATTTGGCGCCCGTGTTTAGGGCCGGCACACGCAGACTTGGTTGCGGACACCAAGAGCAACCGTGGAATACCCCCGTTCAGCTTAGCGTCCCAGGTGGAAAACCTTTACGGATGTAAAAACACGTTGCGCCCGCGGATAATTGACGGGGGATATTCAACGGCCAAGTCCCATTTCCACGGTGCGACCGTTGAACGCGCTTTTCACCCTGTCGAACCGGGGGTATTCCGGGGGCGCCAGGCCCATAGTGGTAGGCGAGTATAGTAGGGTCGCTCAATTCTCGCATCCTGCGTCCTGCATCCACAAGAATTGAGCGGCCTAGCTAGTGTGGACGTAGCATAGGACCACACCACAAGCGAGCCACTACATGAACAGGCACTCAAGGAAGCCGGGCTTACACCGACCCAAGTGCTCCGGCTTCTCTTTCGGGGCGACTTGGTCCGTTGCCTGCGCGCTGCCTTTCTCTGTGGCTTCTCGAGCCCAACTTTGCCTCTTTGTGCACTGTGCTCGGTTATGCGGTGCCCACGTACCGGAATAGTCATGCACTCGTACTCCCGGCGTGCTGGGAACAGGCTTGCGGTATTCGAGACGGAAGTGCAGGAGAATCGGAAGGAACTGCTGTCGGAAGGCGATGCACAAGCCCAAGCTCAGAGCGAGGATACACGGAGAGCGGCACCGACGGCGGGTGCGGAGGAGAGTGAACAAGAGCAGCGAGCTAAGACAGCAGCGGCGAGCGAGCCATGGATCATTGAGGCACGTCGCGACGTGCGCAGACGCGGTGCGCCACAAGCAAGACAGGCTGTCGTCATCGTCCAATTAATAATATAATAATGCAATCAGCTGATCGCGTTGAGTCGTCTCCCAGCTCTCACCTTCGCAGCTTTCCTGCTTTGCCTGTCCAAACCAATGCCGATTGCCTCTACTCCCATCGTGACCGACCACTGCCTGCGTGTTGCGACCCTCCTTCCCGTGCGATATGGGCCCACGGCATGCGCACGCAACACCTCGGTCGCTCCTCCAGCCTCTCGCCTGACCTATGGACTCCCCTGCCGCCCGCGCTGCAACTTCTCCGTTTTCGGCCCCTCTGCTCATGCCCCCCTCCTTGCGTACACGGGCGCTTTCTTTCAGTCATGCTTGTGGGACAGTGTCTTCACGGTCTTCGTGAGCATTCCGTCCAAGGCCCAACTCCTAGCGGTACGTTTCCCTGCTCTCCTGTCCCGCATACACGTCCCACGCATGATCGCGTCTACCCTACTCACACAACCCCAGTGATTTCCGATTGTGCGTACTCATCCGGCGATCATCCTCTTTGCGCGGCCGTATCATCATCGAAGCGCTACGCTTGCCCTGTCTCAAAGTTCGCAAATCGAACTGCGTCTAGGTGCTGTCGCTCGCGTTGTGGGGCGTGATCTCATTGCGACCACTTGGGGCCCTTGTGCGTCTCTGCACGTATACTCGTTGCCACGCTCAGTGGATTCATGGTGAGCGCGTAACCGCACAGGAGTCACGTCGCTATTATCCATAGTGAGCACGCCCTCCGTCCTCCTTTTCCAAGCCGATGTACCTATGCTGCCAGATGGGGATGGACGCCGATGAATGCCCGCGATACCCATTTGTGGTGCATGCCGCGACACACGGCCACACGTAGCAGAGGCTCTCGTCCCTTGAGCTCTGCATATCTCACCTTCCCCCGGCCGCCGGCACCGACCTGCGCCGCCGTCATGCTCCCGTCTATAACGAGAGACCGCGACGCGAGCATGAGACGGCAGGAGCGATACCGCCCAGCCCATGCCCCAGCGCGCTGCCCGTCGCGTTAGCCCCACCCGGCCCCCCCCCTCCCTCCCCTTCCTCGCCACGGACGATGACCACGGTCCCGCAGAGCCGACCAGCAGCCGCGTGCCTCTCGCAGCGTGCGAGAACACGGTCGATGTTTCGAGCTCGGCATCCGACGTCCGTTCTCGCTCTGCGCAAATCCGGGCCGCTCGGCTGGCACGGACCGGTCGGGTGCTCGGCGCGGAGGGCCTGTCTCGAGCAGTGTTGTTATGACCCCGTCATGACCCCGAGTCATGACCGTTGACGGCACGGGTCATCGGTCATGACCGAATGGTCAAAGGTCAGCACGTGATTGCAGAACGCGGTGGCAAGGCGAGCCGCGAGTCTACTAATAAGCATGATCAGACCGGGAATTTGTAACTTCACGTAGTAGCAAGTCTATCGAAGATATGTATGAGTTTCCTATTGCACTGAGTATGGTCTATGATCACCATATGACTGAGCTAGAGTAACTCTATGTACTGCAATGAAGAGTAACTTGATGCACGTGAGCATTGCAGGGTTAAACAGACTGTGTGTTCGGAATACAAGACCTGACAGGCCAGGAGCAAACTTCGTGAAGAGGTTCTCCAGGGTATGTGAACTCTCTGCAAGCCTGACACATAGCATACT